GCCCAACCTTCCTTCCGAGGAGTGGCTGGTGGGTTTGAACCGCCAGCCGTCTGGTTAGCAGGCAAGTGTCTTAGCCACTATGCTACCAGAGCTCCCGTTCAGGTGATTACTGACAATTTTCTAATCATTAAAAAAAATTAGAAACCTTCTGGGTCCCAGCCTGGCTGGCCTGGCAGGGGCCCAGAGGAGGGAAGGGCCTCGGCCTTAGGCATGGGGGTGGAAATCAAATGGGGTGGCAGGGACCATACAGGAACTAGGGGGAAAAGAGGAGAAAAAAAGAGGGAGAGAGAAAGGGAGGGGAAGCAAGAAGAAACGCAGCTGTGACCAGGGAACCAGCTCCTGGGGAAAGAAACCCTGCAAACCGGTCTGGGCAGTCCGTGAGCCAGGCTGGTCAGCTGGTATGGGCCGGTATCCGGAGGGAGCGGCCTGGCTGAGGGAGAGCTGTCCCTTGGGCACTGCCGGAGGCCTCCCCACCTGCCTGGGAGGCGCTTCCAGAGGCCTTCAGGCCTGGCCTGTGACCAGTGTTGATTTACCCATAAACAAGGTAAGCACAGGCTGACTTGTGCTTATTTATCTATAGTGAAGAATTTCACATTTTTTCACCATATCAAAGATTTCTGTGCCAGGTGTGGCTGGCATCTGTCTCTCTCTGAACCCCACAGCACCTTCCTACAGAATCTAAGCCTCTTTTCAAATTTACAATCCCTGGTAGGGATGGAGCACCCAGTAAGCAAGATTACTAAGTAAGCACAAGTCAGCTCCTGCTTACCTTGCTTACTGGTGTGACAGTAAGCCTCTGCCTATGACAGCTGCTTCTGGCTCTGGGAGGGAGAGAGTTAGGGCCTGCATTGTGGAGAGTGGAATATAAAGTCTACTATGAGAAGCTGTTCCACTTAAAGTCCCCAGGGCTAGATTCAAAACCCTGCTCCACCATTTACAACATGATCTTGGGCAAGTTAGCCAGGTGTTCTTTAAAATGGGAACAGTCATCCAGCCAGTTAAATGATATCACATACATTCATGAAGTGCCTGGCGCACAGAAGATGCTCAAATGTTCATTTCCTTTCTTGACTCTTTTTTTCCCAAAATGAAAATAGCTTTGTTCTTACCTCTGCTTAAAATACTAACGAATATTCATCATAAAAACATTCTTCTGAGACATTCTCTAACTCAAAGAAACCCATTTTTTAAAAGCACATAATCCCACCATTCAAAGAAAACCATTTATCATTTTGAAATATATATTGTCACACACTTTTCTCTATTTCTCCATATATATGTATATACACATACAGGTTTATTATTAAGTAAATGGCATTCTTCAGGTAAAACAAAAAATACAATATAAACATATTTTAAAACATAGAGCAAAACACAGCAGCGCAATAAACAAACACAAAAGTCTATCAGTATAAATATCTTCTAAACTTTTAAGCAAATTTAGAAGGGTCTGTAGGATTTGACATTCCTGCTGTCTGAGACTTACATTCTAGTGGTGGGAAGGGGTGGAGGCAACATAAGTAAATAATGTATACATTTTTAAAACAAAACTGAAAGCCTTTTCTGCATGCCATACAATATATTTTCAACATCCTTATTGACTTTTCAGACATCTTATTTAAAGGTTTTCTTTGCATATGTCTGCATTTTGTGGTGTTTCCATTTCTGAAGTTCAGGTAGTCCCCAGGTTGCGGATGAG